AAGTATTAACTTCATATTGATCATTAGTCAAGTTTTCACTTTCAGGATCAATTTAAAAGTTAAAAATAAGCTCTCGAATCAATGACAGTTAGACTACACCGCAGTATATTTTTATGGTTGCAGATCATAATAAAATGCAGAGTCCAACATGTTTTTCAAGCTAATAAAATAACATATCACTTTAAGAATATATAACATCCATATATTCCAATCCATTAACGAGATGGACGTTCAAAAAGGATCTTGACATTATACGCTCATTTATCACGTATCAGTCTTTCGTATGGAACGAACTGATTCCACGCAGAATATAGTGATTAATCAGCCTCCATCAAAATAGGTTTCGCAAAGAACACATGCGAATTGTCACAACGTCTACATAATTATTTGCCTGCAGAGACGTAACGATCCGTTAAAAGATAAATGAATTAATAAAAAACAAAATTTTTCTCGAAAAGGATTGATTCTTTTCAAGTTTCCAAATTTGGCATAATCGGAGAGAATGACGTAGTTCAGCGTACTCGACGATTTTAACATTGTAGAATCTCATCGTGAGATGCAATTTAGATGTTACAATATCAGAGAAAGTGTCCTCTCAAGCACGTGCCGTGTTCAAGCTTCCTGGTGACATAATATAAGACAACATCGATCGAAACTTGATCCATTACGTCTACTTTTCACAACGAATCCAGATTATTTTCCTCTCTGCGAGCAATGAAATATTTTTCAGACTGGTTTCATCCTTGTTGTTCGATGCATCAACGAAGATGCTATTAACGAACGATTTCACCAGCGCGGCTATGAGAAAATCAGTAATTATACATTTGGTTGCGATAAAATAATATTATTTATATAACCAATGAAGCTTTTTGATGGATAGCGGTATTTAGATTTCCTGTATCGATTGCATCTATTCCTGAGCTGATTTATATTCATTTATGTTACACTTTTCTCATGGTAGGAATATTCATTTTTTAAATATTCTCTAGCACTTTTATTTTATTTTTCTTGTTTCAATGTTTCCAATATTTTCATTACTTTCATTACTTTAACACTTTTAGTATTATTATTATAGAATGATTATTATTATCTATATTTCATTTTTAGCATTTTCATTCTGCGTACTTTAACAATCATGAAGCATTCACAACCAGAATATTTATCAGGACATCTATATAAAAAGATAAAATTTTTATTACAAAATTGCTAATCTTACACGACGCTCTTATCCTACGTTAACAACAAGAATTGTACTACAGTCACTTCTTGAAGGATGGCCCGTACGTCGTCGATGGAATTCGCGTGTTGTAATTATTGCGAGTTCCAAAATTATTGTAACTGTTGTCCAACGAGTTGGAACCAAATTGGTATGGGTAATTATTACCACTGTTGAAGCCTCCACTGGGTGCTTGGTAATTGTATCCTCCATTATTTCCTTCAACAACAAAATGTAAGAATCAATCTCAATCTCACCAAAACAAATGCCTGTCTGAGCTCTATAGTTT